TCACGATCAAGTGCAAATGCTTGTGAATTCATGAATAAAAATTATTACCAGTAAATTGACACGAATAAATATAAATATCAAAATGCAAATATATTACATGACAACGTGATAATAATAACAATAATGTCACTATATCATAATGATAAAGATTCATTTCGTATTTTGTACGTCATACCTCCAGCTTAACTTTCCATAAAACTTTATCACTATCATTATTTCATTGCCTCAGTCTAGAACGCAATACAACAAAACAATTCAAGACGATCAGCTGCTGATCATGTGAAATCTGATCAGTGCAACATACCGTAACAACCGTGTCAAGTTGATCTTGAAGTGGAGATCGTTGTGTACCCTCGGTGATACCCAATTTGGTGGGTGTATCATCGGGAAGAGTTTGCACAATCTACAAACAATCGAACAAATTCAATATGCACTTCTTATGACTCTCCGAAACTGGCTCATAACGAATACCGTTTTGCTTTCTTACAATCAGTTTCAATCAATAATCATAGAATTCGATTCTACCGTTTCACATAATGAAACCAACAATGTTCCAATATGACCGACTAATATACCGATTACGTGAGGAATCAATATTTCTAAGACGAGATGAGATGAGATCTCTTCCCGCATATTTACCCAGAATTTCTCTCTCTTGAGCTTGTCACATTGGCGTGTTCACTGAGAATCACTACTATTTAACTTCTCAGCCTTATATCTCATCAAACCTTACATCAATCTAAACCATCCAAAGAGATTCATAAACATATTCCAGGTGTAACTATTCCACCATTCGATCAGATACGCTACGATTTTGCTAAAACAAACACGATTTTCGTGCAAACAATCAATGAACCGAAATGCTTACAGTGCACAACAGACGAAGGAATCGATCTTGCAGTTGTGTTGACGTACGAACCACCGATCTCTTCAGATAGGACATCAGAATGCCGATCGCACTGTCTTCGAGAGTCGAGTTCGGCAACGTTGATGAGAGAATCGCGGCCGCATTTGGCGATAGCGATGAGGAGGACAGCCCGAATTCACCGGAACCTGTCGATGACGAATGGAGGCGATGCCCACCGCGAGAGTGTGATTGGCTGTCGCCTTTAGAGATGCTGCAATCCAACGTTCCACTACTAAACACCTTCTCATAGCCATTACTAACTGCTTGCATCACACTTCTAACACGTCATTGAAACACTGTTTGCTGCTCTATACCACGCTCATAAATTATCAACGACTCAGCTAGTTAAGACAATAAGTACGGCAAACTGCGATCATCCTACACAATGCAACGATTATTTCTAATATCATTTTATTTCATTTCACAATTCATTTCAAGAATTCCAAACCGCATTGATTACAGATTCAACATTACCACAGTTTTCATTTCACCC